GGAATCTGGAAACTTCTGTGGCTTTTAAGTGTTAACAGATGGCACAGAGTGACCTACTTTGGGATAAATAAATAAAAAAGAGAGGCTAGGGCTGCTGTGCTGTGGCAAGGAGTGCCAGTGCTGGTACTGGGAAGCTGCAGAGCACAGGGGACTGACAATGGAGTGTCTGGAAGCTGCCAGCTGACTTCGCCACCCAGGCATCATTAGTATGTGCTGGCTGTTCTGTAGCCTACTCAATATGTGATGGTAATATTAATCTGGGCTCCTTAGCAGCAGGTGCCTCTATCATAAGACTCTCTAGCATGATTACTTTGCAGATTGGCAGAAAGTCGAAGGTTTGTGTGACTGGAAAGAGCAAAATTAAATTTCCAACCCTAGCAACATCTCTTCTGGAGTCAGGCTGGGTATTGATTCTACAGTATCACTTTTCACTTCTAATAGATACTTAAGGGAAAACTACTTCATTCTCCAAAGAAAAAAATATAGTCTGGTACTTTAAATCAGCACTACAGAGATAACAGCAATTACCAGATTTTTCCACTCCCCTCTTATAGTTACTTTAAGGTATATGCCATCTCTTAGTACTACTGCAGATTTCAACGGGAAAAACTCTAAAATGCCGTTATTCCTAAAACATAAATGTCCTCCCTCTCCTCACCAGAAGGTGTATTTTGTAAATTCCACTATTTTCACTTTTCCCAGAACTTTCCTTAAACGAAGAACATATAAATCCTTCCAAAAGTATAAAGGAAAATTAAACTCTGATAAAATTTTATACTGTGAGACACAATGTATGGACAGGTCAGGTACTTTGATGAGCTCTGCATGTTGAGTAACATGGTTGTGAAATTGATGGTACCAGCATGTATTTACTTGATTTTCTGGACAGCTAATGCAAAACTACTATTTGCCACCTGGTGAGCTGAACAAGTTCTCTGAAGGCTGCTGAGCATCCTGTTGGTGCAACAATATCACAAATTTATTTCCAGTATGGATAATTAAATTGTTCTTATCTGTTCAGGTTTTCACAATTTAAATCTGTATAAACATTTACTTCACTTCTGAGTACAGCCCATGTGCTTGGCTGCCTGTGTGTTACATAAGGATATGCTTTCCCACCAATCTGGGACAAATACTCCCAAGGGACATTAGGCTAAATATTCATTTGTTTTTATATGACAACTGCAGAATTAAAACACTTTAAAAAATTTAAATTTAAAAAAATCCATTGTGATTTTTTTCAGTCCCTCCTGCTCATTCTTAAATGTTTTGTACCTTTCAAGCCTTTTAACTTGACATGCAGAAAACAGGGACAGATTGATGTCAAAGCTTTCCCAAACCGTCAGCATTACGGAGCTATATTTAAACGTTCTGACAGGGACAATCCTGTACGACAAGAAGAGGTTGAAGCAGTCATCCAACCTTCTGCCAGGCTGCATTTCAGATGGTCAGAACTGGCCCTGAGCTACCTGGTCTAGCCCTGTAGCTGACCCTGCTGTGAGCAAGAGGATGGACCAGAGGACTCCTGAGGTCCCTTCCAGCCTGAGTTACCTTATGGTCAGGTATGTGGAACTACTGCTTGCATTGTATTTAAGATGGTGAGTTCTAGCAAAGGGATTTTTCTGGAGTCCCAAAGGCACTTTCCAAACCTCCAAATGTTTCAGAAACAATGTGGATGGAGAGCAGCAGACAGACCTGCAGCTCTCCCTGGGGCATTGGTATTCAGCTCACATGAGAAACACCTCAGATACGCCACATTTGAACCAGACACCTGCCTCAAAGGAAAACAAGAAATTATTTCCTCAAGTAACTCATAGATATCCTCAAAATATACATCTCATTTCCTACACCAGCTGTTGTAGACATCTCTTTCTGCTCCTTCTCTTGCGACAAACCACCAGCTAGCCACACTGGCCCTGCAGCCAGGTCACGCTGGCCACAGACCTTCCCAGCAAGCAGGCACAAATCCTCACCTCCCACCCATGGTAGCACCACTGACACCCCCTCATTGGCTGGGAGGGTAGAGACCATAAAAAGAATTCTCAAATAGATGGCCTGCAGCATGCAACATGTTTCTTTCCTGCCTTGAAAGACTGCATGAACAGTCCTTGCATGAGTGTGCACTGAATTGAGCTGATGGTGGAGGAACAAGACACCCTTCTCATGGGGCAGATCTTGCCCCAGTCTGTGGGGTGACCACCATCTGTGACGTTTGTCTCCTCAGTGCCCTTTGTGGGATGCAAAGTATAGATGGGGGGACTGAAAACTATGAAGGTGTAGATGGGAGTTTATGGAGAAATTAGTAACCTCATGGTTAACATGCAAACATGGATCTTTGGTAAAGCTCTGAGCATGAAGACAGGTTAATTAAGTCACAGGCGAAGTCATTAAGGGAAAGGTCAAGTATGTGGAAAAATCAGGGTCAAGCTCCCAACAAAAGTCCTCCAGTTCAGGGACAAAATAAAGATTTTCTTTTTCAGTGCTGACACCTCTGTCCCAGTCTCCCCAGAGATTTTGTCCTGATCTTCCAGCTGCCTTTTTGGAAACATAAGCTGAACAAAACCAAAGACATTAACTTTTTTTCCCTTCCATTCTTTCTATTTGCTGTCTTTTCAGTGTCCTAACACAACAGTGCAACAATAATTCAACAATATTTTGACCCAAGAAATTACTGCCTGAGGCTCACTTATAATAAACACATTGTACTGAGCCACAAGTACAGATTCAGCTGCTGCTGGCTGTGTTTTCCATCTGCACAGCCTTTCCCAAAACTTCCTGATGACATCCCATGGATTGTTCCAGCTGAATGGGATCTCTCAAAGCCTCTGTGTCATGCAGGCATTAGCAACAGCAGGTATTAGCAGTGGACATGAACTCAATGAAGCAGCAGAGTAAAGCAGACAGGACATTTTTCAGGGTGCTTGCGTCTGCATGGGAACTAAAGACAAGTAAATACAGGGAAGGAACTATTTAATCTTTTTACATAACTCACTTAAAATTAACTTGCAATTAGGCCCTCCTGAGGAATTACTCAGTGATTATACCCTCCAGATACCTAATACAAGCACGGGTTCTGGGGCAAGGCCAGGAGGAGCGATGCACTGCTGCTCCCAAAACGAGTCCTTTCAGGGCCACCCGTGGGAGCTGCCCAGGTAAGCCACTGGAGGGAACTCAGCCTGCTCCCACAAGCCCTTGGCACTGGACTTTCCCTCCTACTCACTTACTAGGACCTTCACTTTAAGCTATATGCATATGCTTTAAAGACACCTGCCACAGTAACTCCTCCTGTTAAGGGACATGTAACACTGTTCTGTATTGCACACGCACATGATACGTTTCATCTTTTATGTTTGTAGTAATGCAGTTGTTTTAATGCAAGTTGTAATGTTGTAATGCAAGTTGTTTTCTGCCTTAGTTTTTTTCTTTCCCCATCATTTCTCTGTCTACAAGGTATAAATGTTCTCTGGAGGTGAACCAAAAAGTTACTGAATGTGCTCCTGGTTACTAGTGGGTGTGTAAAATACGTTCCTTGCATTTCTGCCAAGAAAAGGACTTGGAAGTAGAAAATTAAGGAAGGGTGGAGACTTGCTAGAAGACCTCAAAGCTGAGGTTGGGGGGCTGGCTGTAACTGAGGAGGACAAGATGGAGAAAAGTTTCTAAGTGAGCAAAGAGTTCTGTCCTTTGGTCATTACATATTTGCTTTCTGTTCCTTCAATTCTTCAGTGTCTTACATGTTTCCCAGAGGGAAACACTGTCCTTCACCATCCTTGGGACTCAGCCCATATAACCACCTTGACTATGTTAAAAGTAAGCAAGGCCCTTCCTAAGAAAACTGTGACTAAGCTGGCATTTGGATCAATATGGGAAGATTGGATCAAAATTACTTTTACCTTTCCCCTTGTATCTTCACATTGTGTCCTCAGTGTATTTGAAAAGTAGGGCATGATTGTATTGAAAATTATATAAAAACACAACAGTTTGGGAAAGTGCAAGTTATCAGTTGTAACAGCAATAATATATTAATTGCATTTTATGTACTATGCAGTGGGATGAGGAAGATTTGCAGATCACACAGCAACTGCATCTACTAGCAAAGGAAAAACCTGCCTGGAGCTCCTGTGGTTCTCTGCCTGGGTAAGTGAACAGCCTGCTGAGTGATCTTAAGCAACTTCTTTTCACTTCTCTATGCCTGTTTTTTCAGCTGTAAAATGTGAAGGCTGCAGGCACGTGCGTGCTTTGTCTGACCTCTTCCAAAAACCCGTGGAAGCCTGAGAGCAGGAAGCACTTGTACAGAGTTCTGTGATCCTTCAAGCAGGACTAGCCATCGCACCATTTCTGGTTATGAAAAATAGGTACTGATCAGACAGAGAAAAAGTCAGTTGCAAGGCATGCCAGCTCATACTGTCTTTCCCCAGATGGTCCCAGTCATGAACTGGTAGCAAACTACATTTCATCTAGTCGTTAAAATGCCCGGAATTTGCAATAACATCAGATACTTGGGGAGATAATTTTTTAGTGCAGTATCTTTCCTCCTCACATGGTACAGCAGTGACATCTATGCTGCTTCTCTCTTATCTCTTAGTTGACCTTGTTTTTCAGGGTTTTTTTTCCTATCTGTCTCATCAATTATTTTTTTCCTTATCACTCCTAGTACAGGGCACAAAAATGTATCAGCAGTTTGTTTAGTGCTTGTGTACAAAGAGTATCTAAAATTTCAGCAAGGTCTATCAATTTACTACCCCATTAATTCTTAACAGTGACCTATCCATATTCTAAATACAACAACATAGAATTTCTGAATATTCTGATGCTAGAAATGCAACATAAAAAAGCTTAATTTTATATATCTATACAATACATAAAAGCAATTTGTAGATCTCAAGCTATACATTATTTCAGGTAAGGGCACACATTCTCATGCAGCTACATCAACAGGCAGTGAAGAACACAAGACTGAGGTGATGAGAGAAAGCAAGAGAAAGGCCTGACTCTTCATTTACTAAGCCCTTTATTGAACGTAGCTTTAGGTCTTGTTTCAGGGAATAAAAACCAAAGTAAATTTTGATGGCCATTGCCGTCACCACTTACAAATACGTTTGCAAATTAAAGTTCATAGACCTACCTGATGAAAGCACACAGCTTCATTAAAGGTGCAAATTACATCTTTCATTGAAACAGAATCTCCTCAAAACTTTATGCCTCATGACTTTAAGAATGGCAAAATTGCAATGATGATTACACCACTTCTAGATATAAAGGCAGCCATATACTGAACAACAACTAAAGACTCACCAAAGTGCTATAAATACAAGAACAGTCCTTGATGCCCAAAATCCTCTTTCAGGCATAAATTGCAGAAATCACACCAGTTTGCTCAGCAGTGGCAACCCACATATGTACACATAATCAATGTAATCCTCAAACTGAAGACAAGGTTTTATGAACCACTCAGGTTAAATGACTGCATCTGCCACACACAATTAGAATACATGTAAATAGTAGCAATATAACTAATGTTAACCTGAAGCACCAATACAGTGCTTCCAACAGCTAGGGCTTTGTATCATCTAAAGGCCTGTTCTCTGGGACTTGAATAAATGACATTTTATCACCTCAATGGAAAAAAAAAAGTTAGGGAGGAATGCTGACTCCAACATGGGCAAAGAAGTATCTCTGCTCCGATGTGTTCACAGTGAAAATTAATTCCTGAGGATTTTTTTTTTAAATTCAGCTGAATTCTTGACCTTCCTGTCTTAGCTCTGATAACATTCTTCTACCTTCTCAATGCAAAACAAAAAGTTCACAGCCTCTACACTGCTGATAACATTATATTGCGCAACTTCTGTAACTAGGTCCTTTTACTGGATAATGTGTTTCTCCTTAATGGATGGATGTTCCCTTCATAAATCTTTTCTATTGAATCAGCAACTGTTTCCTGATATTAAAAAAAATTAACACTGGGTTTTCTGTTCAACAAGGTAGCATTAATTTTTCACAGATGTTCACATTTTACCACCTTTTGTTTGCTTAGCTCCTAGCATCATTAGGGCAAGGACCAGCGTAACAGAAAAACTTCTTAGAAATTACAGCAGAAAATAATTCCCCTTACATAGTTCAGGCAGGCAGGCATGTATTATGAAAAAGAAGCATTTAGAGAAAGCATTGTGAAACCAAAATTCAGAGTTCAAGGAGCTGTAGAAGAAAATAGGGAATGTGTTTAATGATGGAAGCGTCAAGACTTTCTATGCTGAGAAAAAGGTAAACTTATATCCAAAATTACATGAAAACCAATCTATAATCTTTGGTCTTCATATGATCTATAAGCTTCATATTTGATCTCAAAACTGGGTAGAGCAGAAAAAAATCCTGAAGTGCTGGCAGCTATCAAATGCTTTATAATGCAAAAGCTTAAAAATACCCTCTGAAACTAATTACAAGAATTGCTTAAAATTACACTACTTGGATCAGCTGAAATTAAATTCTATTTATTGAAAAAGTTACAGCCTCTATAAAATAAAGGCTATTTAAAAATGTAACAGTATCACTGAGGAGATCCTGGTGTAACAGAGTTCAGCTGCAGGTGGGATTTCCAGCTCCTGTTGCATGAGGAGGCAGAAGCACTTCAGCTTCAGCAGAGCTCCAAGCCAGCGTTACTAACGAGGCTGCCTAATGGGCTGGGCCTCAGCCACGCATGAAAGCCCAACAACAGATACTCCTGCACTCCATGAAAGCTAATTTTTCAGGGCCAGCACCACATGACATTTAACTGTTTAAATGTAAGCCGGCAGTTCACCGAGTTGATTCCCCTGCAGCTCTGCACAGAATTGCACTGGAGATCTGAGAACAGAAAAGGTTTTAATTATTTAACCACAATGCAGTATGGTCAGTGTCCTCGGTCTGACTGAACCTGGAAGATTTAATAAGCAATTTATTTATTCCCATACAGCAGACATGCAACCAGCTGATGATAACACATCTACTGTGTTTTTTATTTTCTTCCTTAAAGGCTGTTCACTTCAAAAGACTTTACACTGTATTATCGCAAGTTATAAGAAGTCCTCCAAACATGCCACTAATGTTTTCCTTTTGTTCACTGGCTCTAAACCAAACCACAGAATGTGCATTTAATACATTGTGTCGCCTTGAGGGAAGTGGGATGAGTAATCTGTCCAAGCAAAGGAAACCTTGAAAGTCAAAATCCCTGTAAGAAAATACTGTAGAAAGATAAAAGGAAAACATGTGGGAGAGTGATAAACCAAGAACAGAACAGGGCCCTAAGAGATGACAATGCCCTTGTTCTTCAGGCTATTTTGCTGAAGTGAATATTCCATGTAGGCCTAGTGTTGTAATTCAGTCAGGACCCAGAAGTCCCAAGAAGGTTAGAAACCAGAAGTGCCTCAACACTTCTGTGAGATCACAAGATGACCAGTGATACTGGCACAGAATTAGCTAACTAAGCTTTTTTTCTTTTCTTTTTTTTCACAAGACCAGATGACAGACACTTCACCATACCCTGAAAACCTTTACAGTCCAATAAGCTATGGGAAGTTTCACATTTTCAAGACTTCAGAATTCTCATCTAACAGTTTTAAAAGATTTGGCTGAGGAGCTAAAAACCATCAGCACTTATATTTAATGAATTTTGTAATCCCCAGGGAGGTGTCAGCAGATCAGGCTAGCAATAAGGAGGCATGTTACAGTGGTAAATTTTCCACCAGCTCAGAGCTAGCATTCAAACTATGTAATGGGATGTCAGCTCCAAGGGAAGAGGTTGGGAAGAGGCTGATGGTAACAGAGATGCTGGAAAAAAAGGATACCTTCTCTTAAACAATGCCAGCTTATTTGGCTGGTGGAAACTAGCTCTTGCCAAGCTGCTTACCAAGATTCAAGACAATCACAAGTTCAGCTGACAAAATGAACCATGGCCTAAAGCTATGGGGAATTGCTAAGGCTATTTTCCTCTGTGCTTGATGACATTCAGGCAAAAGCAAGGAAGGGAAAAAAAAAGCAAAGCACAAGAGTAGATCAATAGAGCATACACCAAATATAGTAAACTGGGACTTACAGTCTTAGTTGAGTCATCCTTAGTAAGATGCCACTAGAATTTTTCTCTGCCCTAACATTGTTTATTCAAAAATGTTAAAAGGAGGATTTTTGTTCATTTTTAAGACTACAAGCTAGGACACATTGAATTATGGAGTATTTAGGTTAGGCAGCAAACTGGGCTGTTAGACCAGTCATTTGCCTCAAGCAAGGACCATCATTAATCAAGTAATACAGACCTATTTGGCAAGACAGTGAACCTGAAGCCTTTCATATGATCTAAGTCCAGAGCACAGTCTAACAAGATTATAATGAAAAATCTTGCAACCATACAAATAATTTATAAAAACAAAGCAAAGAAATTATCCTGGGTTTGACCTATCAAAACATTAAGGGATGCTGCCAATTCCCATGCCCAGCACAAAGTGATACTGTCCATCAGGCGCAGTACATATGCATTAAGGGAGCTGAGGTTGCACACTCTGAAGCCCTGGAAGCACCACTCAGGCTAAGGAACCAGCAGGGATCCTGCTGCCAGCATTTTCTTTCTCCAGATCCTTCCTAGTGCCCAAAGGATTTTTATTTTTCCCAATGGATCTGAAAACTTGAAACTTAAAAACGCTTTTCTATCTTATGTAAATTCCACATATGTCCTGCTTTATTCATCTTATTTAAATACTAGATTAGTAAAATAACTGCAGACCTACGTAATTGCCTCAGCATGCCTGTCAGACTGATCTACAGCCCCATGGAATGGGATTTCCAGCACAGATATCAGCAAGAGACAGGTTTCAAGAAAAAATAGGACAAGGAATCTAAAATATCACAAAGGAAACGTTTTTAAAAACACAATTCTTAATGGGCTATTGATTCTCTTAATTATTTGGATAGTTAAAGGCTGAGAAGGAAAAAGATATTCCTACTGATGCACTAGAAGACAATCAAATAATTGAAGTTCACATATTGAATTAACAGACACACACACACAAGAAAAACAGAGACATGCTTAAGGGGAGGCCAAATTGTTTTATTTAATTTTTTGGTGACCAATTGGATTTTTGGCAGAAAGCTCTGCTCCTTTCTTTTTCCTTTTTTTTTTTTC